ATTAACTTCGACATAGAGCAAATATGGGATGTCTCTGTAAGTCTGATAAAACTGCAACTTTTGTTTGAGTCCCAACTCTCCCAAATGCTTCGTAAATCTTGCATATCATTTCTTTTTAGCGAAACTGGAGCATAACTGGCTAACTCAGATACATAGTCATCCTGCAGACTATCTCCTTGTCTTTGTAAATCCTCAGCCCACTGTCCTACTTCTGAGTTTAGAACTATTTGATTTGAACACTTTTTATATCCATGGATGAAGGTTTTCCAATGAGACAATTAACACGATGATCAATGCCTTTTATCCTGTATGATGCTACGCAAACAGAAGAAATAAAGAAAACAAAAAAAAATGAATTAGTTTACATAATAAAGGAAAAAAATAATTTAATAATAATGTCTACCTAACTATTTTTATTTAAACATGCTTTCTTCATACTTTAAATAATTTAAATTCACATGCAATTTATTCAGTAAGAAAATAAATGAAAAAAAAATTAAAAGGAAAAGTTAGAATTCATTTCTCCTGTGTGTACACCTATTTTGGACAAAATTTCGGCATGACTTCAGATCGGAAGAGTTTCTAGGGTTTTTTATATGCAGGGTTTTTAGTTCTAGGAGTAAAGGTACTCGAACTGTCCTTGTTGATGCCCCCTTGGGCTGTCAATCCTCAATCCTAGTCCATTACAGACTTAAACAGATCGAGTTCAATTCGAGGGGACACATTTCTCTATGCCTGAAACGGAGAATAAATTCTCACGAAGACATAGAGCATATGAACCCCGAAAGTTACTTGCTAGGTCTGACACGGAGAATAAATTCTCATGAAGGCGTTGCTTTCCCTCCCACTTAAAAGGGACAAACTCAATTATAGAGCTTTATGTTATGCAATGCAAGTGTTGTGTGTGAGAAGAAATGTTCAAACCTCTGACAGAAAAATAAATAATGAAATAAAATACTTGCAAATAAAATGAAATATTAATAAAATAATATATATAAATACTATGAAAATAATAAGTATATATAAAAATTTTGAAAAGAAAGAATTATAAATTAAATATATGAATTTTTAATTTATAATTAATAGAGACAATTTATAATTGATTTTAAAAGCTTGACCAAATCTCCAGCGGAGTCGCCAAGCTGTCTTAACCGGTTTTCGTCCGGGCACGAATTTTTTATTTGGCGGAAAAAGTAATGTGAATAAATGGTTTTTAAAATAATTTGGGAGTCGCCATCGGCCTTTTGGGGTCAGGTAGGTCGAATACCTAAAAATCATCCTTTAAAAGAGTTTTTAAGAAAACATCGATTAAAAGATAAATTGATCTGCGTTTTAACCAAAAATTCGTTAAAAAGGGATTCGTGGTCGATTACGTTTAGGGAAGGATTAGCACCCCTACAACGCCCAAATTTGGTACTTATTAATTATAAATTGTCCCTAATAATAGAATTTTAAGAATTCAAATATATTTAATTTATAATTCTATTATTTCAAAATTATAATTATGAAAAATATATTAATTTATATATAAATAAAATATTTATTTATTTAGAAATATCAGAAAATGACTTCTAGGTGCCTTAAGACAGCTCTTTCTTCGATATTAAAAATAAATAAATAATTAAAACAATTAATATAAAATTTATAAAATAGGTATTTATTTAAAAATATCAGAAAATGGACATCCAGTTGTTTTAAGACTGCCCTTTCTTAATATAAATATTAAAATAGGATTAAAATAAGTTAAAAGTAATTAAATAATATTTTAATAAATAAAATAATATTATTTATTATATAATATTTATGGCTAAATAATAATAATATAGTAATAATAATTAAAAGTAACATAAAATTAACATATAACTAAACAATGAACAAAATTAAAACTATATATTTAAAATAAATAAAACTTGTAAAAAATAAAAAAAATTGAAATTAGTGACTAAATATAACCTAATAGATTAAATACCTAATTCATAATTAATTATTTAAAATTTCAATGGCTAAATATGTTATTCTACCCTTTATAATTTAGTGACTAGATTAAAAAAATATTAAATTCATATATCAAATTAAAAGAAATTAAAACATGTTATTCGGGGTTTAAAATATTAATTAATAAAGTTACAAGGACTAAATCGGTTATTTTAATTAAAAACATATATTTTATGTTAATGACTAAATTATAAGTTAAATAAAATTAAGAGATCAAATTAAAATGATCATAAATTGATTTCAGTGACTATAATGAAAAATTATAAAATTACTGGGTTGTGGATAGGGTTTTTCCTTTAATTAATTACACACAGACCCCTCCCCAAAACGACGTCGTTCGGGGAGGGGTATATAAGCCCCAAACCAGACGGCCTTTCGGCCAAAAATCATTTTCTCCTCTCTCTCCTTCTCTCTCTTTCTGAGAGAGTTTTTTAAACTCTCTCGTCCCTCTCTAACTTCCCTCATCGGAGGGAAGCCGGTCACCGGCCAGCATCCTTGTGCCGTCGATAACCTCACCGCCGGTCATCGCTTCCGGTGGCCGAAAAAGCAAAAACCTCCCGAACGATAGATCCGAGTGATCTACGTTCAACTTTGTCCTTAGTTTTCCTTAAAACGTCCCGTATTTGCCTAGATCTAAGAAAAATACCTTCGGTATTTTGTTTCTACGGCGGCCTATGAACTCCGGCGACGTCGCAGCTTCTTCGGTAAGGCTTCTCTTAATTTTTGCTTCGATCTTTTGATGGTTTTGGTTGATGTGTTCTCCCTGTCTTTTTTTTTTCAGGTTCGGTTGATGGCTTTATAGCCATCACCGGCGCTTGTCTCGGACCGGGTAAAAGAGTAGAGTTTGGTGAGTCACCAAACTTCCAATGGTGACTCACCGTTGGGGCGACATGTGTGCGGCTGAGTGGCTCTTCTGGAAACTTTCGTTGAGGCGTGGCACTGACGGCGGCGTGGCAACAGCTGAAGCGTCAACGTGGAGGCGGTGGCTGAGCAGAGGCGACGGCTGGCCTTCTGGAAGATTGAGGCGGCTGGGAGCTAGGGTTGATACAAACCCTAAACATTTAGGGTTATTATTGGGCTACCGAATATGGGCCTCTGTATTTGGGTTGGGTCTGTAATAGTAAATAAATAAAATTATTTAATAATAATAATAATAATATAATAATTATAATTATAATAAAATATAAATAATTATAATTATAATTATAATTATAATAAAATATAAATAATATTCAAATGAAAAAAAACGAGTATCTTCAGGCAACGTTTAAATTTTAGCAACTGAAACAGGTTTTGTTTCTTTTATTTTGAGCACCTTACTTTCCACACATTTTATTTCGTCACGACTTTATCTTGTTAGCATATTTTTGTTGATATTATGATTTTGGCCATTGATTTATCAAAAATGCATGTTAGTCCCCTATTTCTACTAGTATAAGACTTGTGCATGATTTATGCTTGTGGACTTCGAATTTAGATTTATGCTTGATTTAGTCACTACCTTTGATTTAGCATTTAAAGTTGAATATATTTATTGCATGTTTAATCCTTACAGTTTGGTTTCTCTTGTGATTTAGCCCCATAAATTAGCATATATTTGGTATTAATTCATATTTCTTTAAAATATTTTTTTATAAAATTTGTAAAATATCTTTATATTTAATATGTTTTAGAAATATTTTACTTAAATAATTTCAAGAACATTTATCATGGAATGACCATGAAAAACCTTCTTAATAGTGGTTGTGCGATTTAATATGACCATTTGAATGAAAGGTGACTTTGTAATAAATTAAATACATTTTAAATAAAATATGTATTCATATAATTTGTGCTTTTAATAATACCTTCTTTGATTAATTGGTGAAAAGTCTTTTAAATAGTTAAAGTACAATTTCGTATAATTTTCCAATTAAATTGGTATTTAATTATTTCTTTTAAATAAATTTTATTTTAATAATATTAATAATAATAAACATCGACTTTTTTCATGTTTTAATAATTTAATTGTTCATTTGGCATTCTAATACGCTTATATTCGAATCCTGCACACTTTTATTTTCATAAATAAAGAGATGACATTATTAACATGGTTGGTTTCAAGTGGTAAGCAGTTTAATATCGTTAAGTAAAATGTCAAGTTCGAGTCATTGTATATACAAAAAAACTCCTGCCGAGAGACTCAACCATTAAAGTCATGTGTGCGATCGGGACGATAACCAAAAAAATTAAAGAGATGACATTATCTTATTTGAAAATTTAATGGGATAGACTTCTAAATGGTAGAAGCGTAAAGATACCAATTTTGTGTGTTATGTGAGTGTTGTTCCTTTTCCAAGTGTAATCGGCTCTAAAATCCAAAATATTTCAAAATAAGTCGTAAATCTAAGTTTTTTTCTTTTTAAAAAGGGAACTTTAAGGGGAAAAAACATTATGATAAAGTAAATGCAAATAAATCTGACCACATCAACAAATACCACAAAAGAGAATCAAGTTATTGAAAGATCGTCGACAAACCGTAAATCAGAGTCAAACGATATGAAAAAAATTATCTACGAATATAAATCTCGTATCCAAATCCAATCTGATAGTCTAAAGAAAATGTCATAATGATAACAAATAAATGTCATATTGATCAGTTATGACGATGTCAAATCCAACAAAAATAATAATAAACAAAAACAACGGTCAAATGACAAAAAACGTACCGTAAAGGCAGTCATAAAGACAAAATTATTAAAAACTTAAAAATAAAAAAAATAAAAATATATTATAATAAAATATAAAAAAAAATAATAAATACTGATGATAGATGAATATTATCAAGGTTAGTGTTGCCGTCGATCATAAATATAAAGATAAAAAAAACTAGCGGGAGCCAAGTTTTTTTTCTTTCCGTATGTTAACTTTTGTATCGAACATTAATTTGAGTCATAAATCATCGTTCTTACATTAAACATTCAGATGAAAGTCGCAAAAGTTAGCCGTCAGCACAGAGTAAATACAAAAAAAAAACCCGATTGGCAAAACGAAAACTTCATCTGTTTGCCAATGGAGCTCCGAATTTATCTGAAAAACTGTACAAAAAGAACCTCCATTCTCCATCGTTTTTCCTATCTCATTCTTCTTTCCATATATGACCGGTTATCCTCAACTTCAGCTCTCGCCTATCGCATCCGGAAAAGTATAGAGCTAGGTTCCTCTGGATGACGAGTCCATCCAGACTGTCACGAACTTTCCTATGACTGTCCCGGATGCTCCTCGGAATACCTTGCCATATTAGTTTACGTCTGTTGGCACCGACTTCCAAACTATAATTGAACCTTTTTGCTTCATTATCATCACCCATAAAACGTAAAAACGCCATATAGACGGGTGCCTTCCCGAGGTGGAAAGCTTCAAAATGCAAGCAGAACTTTCTTCCGAAACAATTGAACACCTGCAAAGGATGTTGGAGTTCAAACAGAACTTAAATGGTTTTCTATTTCTTTCGATTACTAGGGGGCAAAATAGCTATGAGCTTCAAAACCGTAATGTTTTATCACAACACAAATAACCATATTGTCATAGAAGCATAGAAACGCTTGCCAAGAATCGTAGAATAAGAAAACTTACAGTAAGCATCCATGTGGCATTTTCAACTTCATGTGGATTCGATTTAACGTATCGATGGTTGAAGGTACATCCATCATGCATGTCAACCATATGATCCTTCAAACCGTAATGTTTTATCACAACACAATAACCATATGTCATAGAAGCATAGAACGCTTGCCAAGAATCGTAGAATAAGAAAACTTACAGTAGCATCCATGCATTTTCAACTTCATGTGATTCGATTTAACGTATCGATGGTTGAAGGTACATCCATCATGCATGTCAACCATATGATCATCCTTGAGATGTGCAACGAGTGTTGGGATGTCACCCGTTACAGAGCACTCTGATCCAGCATAAGGGCAATTGTAGGGACGAAACTTACAGTTTTGCTCGTGCTTAAGCTTGCCGTAATAGGGGAAGATATCAAGGCATCCAAGATTCTGGTATCTACAGGGAAACTCTAATGATTCTGCAACTTTCTCCAAGGCTAAACATCTTATATTTCCAAGATCATGGCGGCAAGTCGGGCAACAGTTGAGCACTCTATTCTTGCAGTTTGAACACAAAGTATGTCCATTGGGACACTGTATAGAAGATTGATGCAACATATAAAAATTATTAACTATTTTTTTTACTGAATAAAGAAAGAGGTTAGAACAAATTTTCTATTCCATAGTTAAATCCCAGACTTAGGTACGAGTCTCAGATACTAGTTTGTCCAAATATATGTGTTGGACAAGGGTATTTCAAGAAAAATAAAGAGTTAGTGTATCATAGATTACTTTTACATCTCCCCTTAGGAGAATAGGTCTACAATCAGCAACCAAGCTCCAAAACGATAAGTTATTCTCTTCGGAAGCCCGTTTTTCCCTATAGAACTATGCCCTTAACCCTTCAGCACGTCGTGCCTGATTCCTAACACTTCATGATGTATCATCACCCCGCGCACATAGATATCGTCACTTGGTTCCATACAAGCATATGAAGGCACACATATTGCCTTCACAATGATGTAATTTATGAAATTCCATAATATGAAAACCATTAAAAAAAGGTAAAAACATAAGAAACGAACCTGGTGAATTGGTGGATAAATCAAATTTGCACATATAGAACACCCAAACAGCTCGTAAACACCATTGTTTGAACGGATTCCACATTTCCCAAGAACATTAACAGCACTTTTCTTCGTTGTAGTATTGCTCTCAGATTTTGTTGGAGATGTACTGGTATCCGGAACCGAGGGGTGAGATTCAACAGCCTTTTCACAAAAACTGCCTCCTGGAGCCATTGCTACTTCAAATACGGCAATAACTCTCGTCAGCTACTTAATATTAAGCTTACCTAGTTTTGAGATGATTCACACTCTATTTCCCCTAATACATGATAAAAATAGATGTCATCAGATAGCATGATATTTTAAACAAAAAAATGGGAACCAGTTAAGGAAATCGAAGAAGCTTCATACAGAGGATTAGATTTCGCCAGGTAAGGGGTATTATGGCAACCTAGACTAGCTTATTGGTAACTAGATATAACAAGATTAAGTCAAATTCTCCTTAAGTAGAACTTCAAGAAAGAGTCCCTATTTGCTAACAATATCCATTGAAGATACTAATTTTTTACCCATATTAATTAATTATTATTATTATTATTATAATTATTATTATTATTATATTATTATTAAATATATTAAATACATATAAATATTATTAAAAATAATTAATTACAAATCAAGTTTCTGGCCCAAACCAAACTGAAACCCAAAAACATTTAGGGTTTCAGTTAGGGTTTCCTAAACCCTAATCCCAGCCGCCTCAGCTTGCTGTCGTTGGATCTGATAAGATCCAACGGTCCAGATGGCTCCAGATGGAACCCTAGGGTATGATACCCTAGGGCCACGCGGCCGCCGTTGCTGTTCTCGCCGCCTCCGCCACTGCCACGTCCCAACCGAAGCTCCAGAAGCTCCAACGCCAGCCGTCCACCCAGGCTACGGGGAGTCACCACTGGTATCTGGTGACTCACCGAGACCCCCTCTTCGGACCGGTCCGATGGCCACACGGTTGTGGCTATAAAAGCCACCACCCGAACTTGAAAAAAAAAAAAAAAAAAAGAAGAAGACAGAGAACAGATCCCAGAGACAAACCAAAAAAATATATACAAAATACTACCAACGATCTCAGCAGCAAAGAAACAAAAAGAAAGAAAAAGGAAGAAAGAACTTACCGAGGAAGCCCCGACCACCGGATCTCACCGAACCTTCGAAACACCGAAGGTACTTTTGTAGATTCGCGCTCCGATTAGAGCTTTTTAAGGAAAAAACACCGGAAACGTCCTTAGGACCCGATCTATCTAATGGTGTAAAAATAAAATTTTCCGGCCACCGGATGCGGTGGCCGGCGATGACGGTCACGGCGGCAGACGCGTCCGTGACCGTTTCCCTCCGATGAGGGAATCTAGAGAGAGGTCAGCTCTCTCGCTTGAGAGAGAAAGAAAAAAATGAAATGAAGGCTGGCCCTTCGGGCCAGCCGGTTTTGGACCTTATATAGGCCTTCCCGAACGACGTCGTTTCGGGAAGGACTATGCGCGTATTAGACAATAGTTAAACTCCGTCCGCCGTCCTCCTAACTTGTAAACTTTACATTTTAGTCACTAAATCAATTTATAATACTTTTAATTCAGTCTTCGAATTCAATTTTAGTCCTTTATATTAAAATAATATATTTAGGATAAATACAGATTTAATACCTTAATTTAATAAATAATATTTTAATCCCTAGTTTATATTTTAATTTATTTTATTATAATATCTGAATTTTAGATAATTTTATTTTAGTCACTAATTATTAAATAGAAATAGCATGTTTAATCCCTATAATTCTGATTATTATGAATTAGGTTTTTTCAATTTTAATTTCACTATATTTTATTTATTTATTTTAAGTATTTTTTATTGCTTTTAAATATATAGTTAATTGTATTTTTTAATTTTTACTTGTTTTTATATTTAAATGTTGTTAAAATATATAATAATAAATATTTATTTTAAATAAATTATTTTAATATTTATTTTTCAGTATCAAAGAAAATGACAGTCTTATACAACTGGATGTCCTATTCTGATATTTTAAATTAGAAATTAAACAATATTATTTAATTAATATTTATCAATATCAAAGAAAGAGTTGTCTTAAGGCACCTAGAAGTTCTTTTCTGATATTTTTAAATATAAATATTTTTTTTATATATTTTGAAATAATAGGATTATAAATTAAATATATTTTTAAAATTTTAAATTTTAATAATAGAGACAATTTATAATTAAAAAGTACCAATTTTGGGCGTTGTAGGGGTGTTAATCCTTCCCTAAACGTAACCGACCACGAATCCCTTTTTATTATTAAAAAAAAAACGAATTTTTGGTTATAAACGCAGATCAGTTCATTTTTTTTGATGTTTTCTTAAAACTCTTTTAAAGAAAATAATTTTTAGGTATTCGACCTACCTGATCCAAAAGGCCGATGGCGACTCCCAAATTATTTTCAAAATCATTATTCACATCACTCCCTCAAGTAAATATTTCGTGCCCGGACGAAAACCGGTTACGACAGCTTGGCGACTCCGCTGGGGATCTGGTCAAACTTTTAAAAATCATTATAATTGTCTATATTAAAAATTAAAATTCATATATTTATTTTTTAATTCTTTCTTGTCAAATTTTTTATTTATTTATTATTTTTATAATATTATATATGTTTTATTTATTTGCAAGTATTTTATTTCATTATTTTTTTTCTGTCAAAGGTTTGAACATTTCTCCTCACACACAACACTTGCATTGTATTACATAAAGCTCTATAATTGAGTTGTCCCTTTTAATGGGAGTGAAAGCGACGTCTTCGTGAGAATTTATTCTCCGTGTCAGACCTAGCAAGTAACTTTCGGGGTTCATATGCTCTATGTCTTCGTGAGAATTTATTCTCCGTGTCAGGCATAGAGAAATGTATCCCCTCGAATTGAACTCGATCCACTTTAGTCTGTGATGGACTAGGATTGAGGTTAGCAGCCTAAGGGGCACTAACATGGACAATTCGAGTACCTTTACTCCTAGATCTGAAACCCTGCATATAAAAAACCTTAGAACTCTTCCATCCGAAGTCATGCCGAAATTTTATCTAAAATAGGTGTACACACATGAGAAATGAATTCTAAACTTTCTTGTTTATTTATTTCGTTAATGATTAATTACATGTATATTTAAATTATTTAAATTTAGAAAAGCATGTTTAAATAAAAAAAAATTTTTGTAAATGTTATTATTAAATTTTTATTATGTAAACTAATTTATTTTCTTTTTTTTGTGTTCTTTATTTCTGTTTGCATAGCATCATACAGGATAAAGACATTGATCCTTGTGTTAATTGCCTCATTGGAAAGCCTTCATCTATGGATAAAAGTGTTCAATCAAGTAATTCTAAACTCAGAAGTAGACAGGGGCTGAGGATTTACAAAGACAAAAGGAGACATCTGCAGGATGATTATGTATCTGACTTGGCCAGTTATGCTCCAGTTTCACTAAAAAGAAATGATAGCAAGATTTGCGAAGCATTTGGGAAAGTTGGGATTCAAACAAAAAATTGCAGTTTTATCAGACTTACGGAGACATCCCATATTTGCTCTATGTAAGTTGATGATGAATTACTCAGAGCCCTAATTCAATTCTGGAATCCAGGGTACAATTGCTTCACTCTCAATAAAGAGGATTTGGTCCCTACTATTGAAGAATATACAACTTTGCTACATATAGATGGGGCTTTGGAGAATCGAATATACAAAGTCAATTAAAACTCAACCCTTTCGAGTTAAATTAGCAAAGATTGCCGGGGTACGAGAAGAATGGGTGGCATCCCGTACAAAACAAAAGGCGAAAGCGAAGGCATCGCTTGGACCAACATTAAAGAACTTATTCAGAGTCATCCATATTAAAGTACGATCGATTTATTGCTCTGGGTATATGGTATGGTCATCTTACCAAAAGTATTGGGATATGTTGAAGCTGCAGTGTAATTTGTTTGAACAGCTACCGAAAAGACTAATCCTGCTTCTGCAATTCTAGAGACCTTCAGATCGTTAAATGCTTGTAGAAAGATAGGAGGTGGACGATTTTCAGGGTGTACCCAGTTGTTATATGTTTGGATCCGTAGTCATTTCTGGAAGACAGAAAAGGTTTCATACCGACGCTTAATACGGATTACTCACCATTAAAAGAATTTCTGGAGCAGGAATGGCCGAAAGAAATTAAGAAAGATATGTGGATCAATGCCTTCGAAATCTGCAAAGCAATGACGTTGTTTGGCGAGCCCCGGCAAATACAAAGGGAATTCTTTTACAGATGTGGTGATTACAACTGGATAATGCTGCTCGGATTATGGGGAGGAATTGGATATGCACCACTTCTGGTTATAGACAGTATGAAGGTCGTCAATTTGTACCTATTACTGCTGGATTACAGTCATCTGAGTTCGCATTCCACAGCAAAAATTATAAAAGAATATCATGGAAGCCGTTACAGCTTGGAAAACAACTTTTTGTATCCGAGCTAAAGCAGCAAAAGAAATGCTCCTGATTATGAAGAATGGAGATCTGTCAGGAAAAACGAAAATATTCCTCTACCAGATCAAAATGAGGATATTTCTATGGAAGATCGCATTAAGGTGATTCCATCAGAGATTGAAATTCTGAGAGCTGAGTTTGAAGCAGAAAGAGAAGGCTGGTCGAAAGAATTAGAGCAAATGAGACAAGATAAAGCTATGTTGGGGTTGACATTGACTTTCATTCATCACAATGTGCAATGTTGAGAAAAGATAAAGAAAATTTGATGATGAATTTAGAGCATTACAGAAAAATTACCAGGAGTTATATAAATCCCGGAAAGCATCAGGATCCCCCATCAACGGTACAGAAGACCCGAGATTTGAACATTGAAAAGACGAGTTGAAGATCTGAAAGGAAAGAATAGCCGTCTACTCAAAAGCCTTGAAAAGGAAAGCAAAAAATGGAAGATTTTGAGGTCGACAGAAGAGAGCGAATTATAAAACACAAGCTGAACACCGTGAGATCATGAATGAAATGCAAAGAGAAAGGATCGAGCCAAAGATTTAGAAGATATGAAGAATGACATCTTTGTTAAATTTGAAGGTGAGAAAATCATGTTCAAGGGATCTGAATCTGAATGAACCAGTTAATTGCTGAACTTGAAGTCAGAGGCCAAAAGATGGAAGAATCCAATATTGAAAAAAAATGGGAGTAGAAAGAAAAATTTCAACACCAGACTTGAGGTGGAGCAGGAAGTGGCTAGCAATTAGATGCAAAGATGCAGAAACAAGGATGTTCAAATCCAAGCTTAATCAAAGAACGCAAGAA